TCCAATAAGAAAACATTTTCCAGGTCATTCTCTTGGTTTATCATTTGTATTTCCTTTTTAACTTCTAAAACTTCAGCCAGTTTCTTTTGTATATCCAGTAAAGCATCCTTTTCAAATCTTTCTCTTGGCCTGTCATTTGTAGTTCCACTTTTGGTTCTTTCTCTGTCTTGTCAGACAAAATTTGTTCCACATTTGTCATTCCTTCATTAACATATTTTAGGTATAGTCTATTCATAAAGGTAGACATCATGACTGACACTGTTGATATTGTAGTTACTAACTTCTGGCTCCATTCTTCAAAGATCCCCTTTAAAGTTTCCGATGTTATAACATTTTGTATCATTTTGTAAGTCTCACTATTAACTGACATCAAAAACAGGATTGTATTTTTTTCATTCTGCTTAGAATCTTTAATCCCCTCTAGTATCCAGTTTCTAAAATCATAAAGTAACTTGTCTTTGTTATGGCTTACAATAGCCAGGATAGCCAAAATAAGTCTGTTTTCCACAAGAAGCTATTTGTTTTGTATAGTTAATTCCAAAATCTTATAGTAAAAACCAATATTCCAAATTTATATGGACCTTTAATCCGTTTATAACTTTCTTAGATCAAAATCCTATTTAGCTTTTTGCTGTTTATTTCAAATTCTTTAAGTTCTTAAGCTTATAATTCATTTTTCTTTTGTTCAGAGTTGAAGATAAAACTCACCCAATAACTTTTCAAACTTGTCATTCCGAAGGTCTCTAATAGCTTTAAGATGGTTGATAGGCAATTTCTGAAAGTAATTAGAAAGTGAGGTTTGCAAACTTAGTTGTGAGCAAGATGGCCAATCCCTTCATCTCCCGGTGCTTAAGCCCCCAGAAAACTGCTGCCTTGCAGGTTCCTTGTGAGGAACAGCCATCCAGAGCACATGCGGGCCATCTCTCATCCTCTCCTTATCTGGAGGGGTTCCAAGGAACCAATCTACTCACTGGTCTTTGCTGCAGTTGTCGGCTCTGTTTTCGCAGAGATGTCTTCAGTTTACCATACCTCCCTCGGAAGTCACTAACCTGACCTTTCTTCTGTTGGATTACCTTTTCATGAATTCTCCTCCATAAAATCCCTTCTGATTCTGAAAAGATTGCCACTTACCATCTAAGTCCAGCCCTAATTAGAGAAAAATAGGTCCAGCAAACAGCAGTGAACAATATACTTGGCTATGTATAAAACAGAATTTGCAGCACACATACATTAAATCAGTGTTGGGCCTCATGCAGCCTCCTTTTCCAAATATTGGAAAAATATAGTGATATAGTGAAGAATAGTGATGTTTTTCTCCGCTGGTTTCTATGCACTCTGCACGGGGGCGCCGTTAGTATTATTCTTGCTATAACCAGATCTTCCTCCTTTCAAATAAAGGGAAAAGTTTAAAAAAGAAAAGAACAGATCTATGAAATATGTATTAACGTCATAGAAATACATGTTCACTTAGGTCTTTTCCATATCACTACCATTATTGCTCCCCATCTCCAAAAGAGAGCCAGTTTGGTATGGTGGTTAAGGCATCAAGCTAGAAACCAGGAGACTGTGAGTTCTAAACCTCCCTTAGGCATAAAAGTCAGCTGGGTGATTTTGGGCCAGTCACTCTCTCTCAGCCCTAGGAACAAGGCAACGGTGAACAACTTTTGAAAAACTTTCTGAAGAACATTTCAGAGACTAGTCCAGGCAGTTGACAGAAGTCAAAAACTAACTCAAAGGCGCCAAATTAAAAAAAAAAAAATCTCCAAAATAGATTCACACCAATCCATAGTCATCACCATGGCTGACTTCAAAATCATCAGTCAGCTAGAGAGTACACTGGTCAGTCAGATATGAAAATGCATCCAACCAGTGTTCCATCCCCTTGTCCATCATTTATTTTGTTTGGCGCTTAAATTTCTTTCACAATCAGCTTTCACAATCAGGGTTGGCTGCAAAAGCATCAAGGCAGCATTCCACCAAGATACAGTTCATCTGCTCAGTTTATTAAAACAGCAGAAATGGTAGCATGGACCTAAGGCAGCTGGACCTCTACATAAAAACACTTAAAAAAAAAAGTAATGAAAATCTTTTCTCCATGTTCTAGCTCTCCTTCTTAAAGTTTTTCCAAAAAGGTTGTTGATGGTAGTATGAATTGCAGCATGCCTGTATATATGTAAGTCATCATTTCTCAAAATGATGGTTGTGAGACAATGAATTAACAGTTGCTCAAGTTCCTTCCAAACAAATGTTTCCAAACAGGCCTACCAATCTGATGCAAAAACATGCTGAATGCAAAGCATGTATGAAGCTTCTGTGTTCTTTCTGCTTTCTTTAACATACTACTGTGTTTGCTTCTCAAAGGAGGAGCAATTATGCCAGGAGAGCACGAAGATTCTGCACAAAGCTCTGATCTTCCCTCTGTAGAAGGAATGTATAATGGAGGGAAAGAGGGAAGGTTGTGGGGGGGGGGCAGAGAAGAGGACGTTGCGGGAGTAGAGGAGGGATTGAAAAACCCCAGGCTTGAAGGGAAAGAGCAGGTGGGCTGTGACCTTTATCGCAGTGTGACTGTGCTGGGAGACACAGAGCCAAAAGCCATTTACAGCCTGCCAGGGTTTTGCAAGTTGCAGCACTTTAAGAGGAGTTCAAGAGAATCTGATATAAAGCAAGTAAATGCTGCTTCTCTCTCCGCCCCCACCCCCCAAATTTGGCAAATTAAAGTCTCTAATCTTCAAAATGTAAGCCATATTTCAGGAATTATGCAAAAGTGAGCAAGCCCATCTTTACCATTAAAACTATAATTTTAAATTTCATTGGGTTTTATTTCTTGCCCACACCTAATGCAATAAAATCATGAGTTTTTTCCATGGGGTGGCTCATCCAAATTCATGTTATCATGAATTATCATGTACTTCCAAACGCTACACTACTTCCCAAAGAATGGCTTAGAACTGAAAAAATGTTTTGTGCAAAATGTGGCTCATTATTTCATGGTATGGTACAAATACAGAATTCAGTACATCAGTTAATGTCAGGTTCAGCCCAAAGAACTCCAAGAGACAATGCAAATACAGTTCTGTTGCGTTTATTACCTACAACCAGAAAGAAAATCCCCCCAGACTGACCCCTAATCCCCAAGCCAGCCAGCCACAACACCGTGAATTCCTTAGGGAGGTGCCAGCCTCATCTTC